CCGATAGCTGCTTCGGTCTTGTTATTGGGTCAGCCAACGGAGCTCAGCGGCATTGGACAAAGAAAACCCGATGCCGCAGAGCGTGCCAAAATCAAGGCGAAGCCCGTTATCCCGTTGCCCGTGCCGTATGTAGACCTAGAGCCTCAGGCTTCGCTCAAGACCACTTCATACTTTAAGTCAAACAGCAATGTGGAGCAGCCAGTTTTAAGCAGCACAACAACGACGATAGTGCCAATTATTAAGCATCCGATCCCGGATGAGCCATCGCCCCAACAAATTGCCAGCATGCGTCCGGCAGTTAATCAAGGATTTAAGCCAGACTCCGTTGTGGTTGAGAGCGGCTTCCGTCCGATTGTGCGTAAGGATGGCAGCGGCGTACAGCTTCCGCCTGAGTTGATTGACCAGGTAGCTCACAGGCGTGAGGATCCAGGCTCTGAAATCGACGAAGTTATGGAAACAGACACGCTTTTCCTAACCGCACAAAGTGGCACCGAGACCCAGAGCTTTGAGCCCATGTTTATACCATCTCCCTTGGACAGCACCAATGCAACAATGCTAGGTTTGAGTACTAAGGAAGAAGTCATTGAGCCAGTCCCAGAGGTTCCATCTCCACTGAGATTACCTTCAGTGGCAATCAAGCACACACTCCCAGCGGCGGCTGAACTTAGAAAGCCATCGCTTGAGGAGCTATTTCTTGACGGTGACGAGGATGAGGCGCAAAGTGAAGCAAAGGAACAGGATGAACATTTGACTGCAACAAATCAGCCAAATGTAATTGAAAAAGACCAAAACTCTTCAGAAACAGCAATTGCAGCCGATGAGGATATGGACTATGATGACATAGGTAGCCTATTCGAACCATCGGCGGAAGAGGAACACCATATGCAGGACCGTTTAGATGAGGATCTGGAAATGGATCCAGACGAAAAGGTAGCTGAAGCAGCCGAACGCATTGACACATATTACTTGCCGCCTGACAACCGGAAAATACCACAATCTGGAGTTCCCAGCGGTGCCGTTTACACCTTTGATGGTAAATCTGTAGTGGACTCCACTTTGGTGTTGCCCCCGAAACTGGACGGTCGCGACAGCGGACACTCGCGTCACACGCATTACGGTCTAACCCCATTGGAGAAGCTAATACGTACCACTCCACAGTTTGGTGCCTATCGCGGGGAACTGCCAGAAGATTTCCTCTCGACCACTCAGGCAGGTGTGCAGCCGGATCATACGAATCCAGTGCGTTTAAGTAGCAGCAGCACCGACAGCACCCTTCATTCACATTCATCGCCATCACTAACATCGTCATCGCGGCCCATTTCGACCAAGTTGCACTTGCTCAAGCCCAACATAAATGAAAATAGCACGTAAACAGCGAGTTAGAAAGAGGCAGAGAGAGAGTTGGCAGCACAGGTGCGCAATAGTTTAATTCATTGATTAGATAAGCATTTACAACTGCAAGCAGTTAGCAATTGAATTTGTATTCATAACCACATACATATACCACAACAAATACCGTATTAGATGTAGTCACCTCTTGATATGTGTTTAAATATTATGATGCTCTTAATTTTAATAAAACACAACAATTTTACATACACAATTAGCTAAGCTATAATCTATGTTTAATATGCATTTTAGTCGTTGTCTATGAAGTAAATTTTATTAAAATATACTTTGAATCGATGACTGTTTACTTATTTATTTTTTTTTTACATTTAATAGACGTTTAACATGGTTCGTTAAAATATTTGAACCGAAATGCACAGAAAATATGCTTACAGGTAAATCTATCGAAATGCTTATCATATTGTTGCTTATCGGAACTTGGTCTGACAACTGTTATTGCACTGTTAAATAAATAAATAAATAATAAA